ACCCCCCAACCCCCCAAACGAAACTTCTCTGTTCGAAGTTTTCTTTGCGGATTCGGGGAGATCTCGGTGAGCGCAGTCCAACCATGTTTTCAAAAAAAAAAAAAATTCTTTTCTTGACCCAGTTTTGGACCCAACCGGAATTCCGGTTGGACCACCGGGGGTCCAACCGGCCCGGTTGGATCCGGGCCGGTCCAACCGGCCGGTTGCTGGCACAGCCATGAAAAAAAGGGAAAAAAATAAAATAAAACTTACAGAATAACTGCTCTGTTTTGGGTTTCTCAGATCTTTTCCTGAAACTCATTCAGAACCGCTGATCCAAAATTCCTGAGACAACAACAACAACAAAAAAAAAAAGAGAGCCACTCAACAGAACCAGAAGAGTCCAGATATCCAGCCCAGACGGGTTTGAGCTTTTGAGGCTATAGCACGGTGGATCATTTGGTGTGCGGATCGCTGCGCTGTAATGAGGAACTTCCGATAATTCATTCATTCATTTAAAGCACCAGTACATGGGCCCAGCCAAGTTGAGAGTCTGATTGAGCCTCTCCTAAAATTTAGGAGGCTCGTGTGCCGTCGATAAAATAAATCGATGGCAGGTGGCATCTGAAAGGGTCCCACGGACAATGGCTGGCATGTACTGGTCGTTTAACACTTTGGTTAATACCACTTCATGTGTGTATTCACTGTATTGGCTTGAAGTTCGGGCATACTCAAAACAGGCACTCAAAATCGCAGAATCATAAAATCAGCGGCCAGATCAACTCCTTCCAAAAGGAGGACTCGATCTGGCCTCTCATTTTGCGAGTCTGCCATTTTGAGGGCGTAGTGTGAGTATACCTTTACTGTTGACCACATACCTTTTCATAATCCAGATATCCAGAGGTTCTTTTTTTTCGATTTTTTCCCCAGACTTGTCTGTTCATCCAGGTGACGTGTGGACGGTCTACCAGGGTCCATCCAGACATTTGATGCCAAAAGGGACAGGGGAAAAAGAAAGAAGAGCCAAGTCAGAATCCCATAAGCCCATAGCCCATAGCCCTGCCTCCGTGGATGACACAAATCTAATATGGCTGAGAGTCACATACATTGAAAGACATAAGAGAAGAAGACGAAGAAGGCGGAGAAGACAAAGGGAGGTAGAAAAAGAATGAAAAGAGAGCAGAGGAAACCCGGTACTCTAGTGGAGAAGACAAAGAGAGCGGAGAAGCCTTTTTCTTTTTTTTCTTTTTTTTCTTTTTTTTCCTATCTCTAGTGGGTGCTACCCTCTTCCCCAGAACACAATGCATCCTGATTATGGCTGTACTGAACCGGAAAGATAGCTTGTATACATTCATTTTCAGGGTGCGTTATGTCCGGGAAAGACGGTAGGGGTGTTGGGTCACAGCCACGGTCATCTGAGGCTCGAAGAAAAGAAAAAAAAAGAAAAGAAAAGAAAAGAAAGAGTGACTGCGACGCAAACTTTTGACGTCTTAGCTTGGTTTGCATGTGAGTAGTACTTGACACTATACTTGCACCTTAGTACTCGGTCCTTTATCTTCACTGCTCACGCGCCCTCGCGTTCGCCACTCTGAAAAACAGTCTGCAATGACGACAAATGCACACTGTCAGTATTATACACAACTGCTCGTCCTCTACTTCTCACACATGAGACTGGTTAACTGACCCACAGACAAAATGTCCAACACGAGCAAATGGCAACCGACTCGACCGAATGACCAAAACGCATAGATGCACACATACACAGACACAGCGAGTGCAGAAGGGGAGTGGGAGAATTACATCCTAGGGGTGAAAATCATCGGCGTTTTCCTTGCTTTCTCCCTTTGTTGGTAGCCATGCATTCTTCTTCCCTTTCTCCATGAAGCGTCGCACACTTAGACACATTATTCACATGCTTTTTTTTTGTCTTTTTTTTTCGAGGAAAAAATCATATCCACAGATTCCACATGGGATGACATCCACAGCATGCCATTGGATAACTTCACTGTCTTTTCTTTTTCTGTTTTTTCTTTTTTGGCCATTTCTCGATTTACGAATGTCATTCTTGTGCAGGGGACATGCTAATCTTCTCTGTATCTTTCAAGGCTGCATACCCTGTCCCACCGGGGCATTGGCAAAAAGCATGTCAGCGCAGCACACGGCGAGGCCCGCGGCGTTTAGTTTACTATCGTAAAAAATGTGTCATAACTAAACGCCTTCACATGAAGGCTTTTGGTTTATTTGTGGCGGGTTCTTGTGTGTGGGCCGTTCTTGTGTGTCATAGCTTTGGAGCACTGACTTCCGGTAACACGTGAAGAGGCAGCGGTATTTACGCAACTCAACAGATGTAGCAATTCGAAGACCCGTCATGGTGGTTGATGGCCCTCCTGCTGTGCCGATCGGATGGCGTCAAAAGCCTCCCAGTCATTGGCAGACAAGATTTTCCCACCTGCCGTGGTGTCGCTCAGTATCATTTTCTGCTACTAAACCTTGCATGTGGGCCGAGGCCCCAGGTCATGGAGGCCTCCCGGCCCCCAAAAAAAATCGGACTGTGTCCGTTAGGGCCGCCTAAATCTTGAAAAACTGGCGGCCTATCTGGACCGTCAATCTGGGGAGATCGGTGGCCCAGAAAGGCCACCTGTTTTTGAACATTCGGGCGGGAAACCGCCCGAAGATAGGTCGTCCTTCAAACACCCTCCCGCCTCCCAACTCCCACCGCTTTGCAGATGTGCAGCCCATTCGCTTTGGACGTCGAACGGGAACGAGCTGGAGACATCGTCGCCCAGCGCCCATCTGCCTTGGCCTCCGTGGATTCGCCATCGCCCTGCCCCGCTGTCCAGCTTTCCCTCCATCGGTAAGCATCTTATTCTTATTCTTCTTCTTCTGGTAAAGCTCTGGAGCGGGGACTTTGAGAGAGAGAGAGAGAGAGAGAGAGAGAGAGAGAGAGAGAGAGAGAGAGAGATTGGGCACCCGGAATCAGTGGGCGCTAGTGACAAAGAGAGGGGGAGGGGGAGAGAGAGAGAGAGAGAGAGAGAGAGAGAGAGAGAGAGAGAGAGAGAGAGAAGATATGGGCGCGCGCGGGAAATAGCGGGCATGCAGAAAACAGCGGGCGCGTACGGGAAATAGCAGGCACACAGAAAACAGCGGGCGCACGTGCGCGGTACACAGAGAGAGAGAGAGAGAGAGAGAGAGAGAGAGAGAGAGAGAGAGAGAGAGAGAGAGAGAGAGAGAGAGAGAGAGAAGTTATGGGCGCATGCGGGTAATGGCGGGCACGTGCAGGAAATAGCAGGCACGCAGAAAAACAGCAGGCGTGCACGGGAAATAGCGGCACGCACGGGCTCGTGCTAGAGAGAGAGAGAGAGAGGGTATGGGCACGCGCAGGAAATAGCAGGGAGGCAAACGGGCACGTGCATCAAACACAGACACAGAGAGAGAGAGAGAGAGAGAGAGAGAGAGAGAGAGAGAGAGAGAGAGAGAGAGAGAGAGAGAGAGAGAGAGAGAGAGAGAGAGNAGAGAGAGAGAGAGAGAGAGAGAGAGAGAGAGAGAGAGAGAGAGAGAGAGAGAGAGAGAGAGAGAGAGTTCTCAGAAAACAGCAGGCGTTCGCGGGAAATAGCGACCACCCCACTACAGCGCCCCACTTCATAATCTAACCCTCGTGCTGCATGCCAAAATCTCACATCTATCATCCATGGCATTGAGACAAGTGAATTGTTCAACCAGGTCAGCTGCAACCAGCCGCTTTCATCCTTTGCCCTGCTCTTCTTCTCTTCTCTTCTACACTTCTTCCCTCCTTTTCATCCACACAACACAAGACCGCTAAACATTCTCAACACTCCTCCGCACACCACCTTACGTGCCGGAGAATATTCCCCCCATTCACATCCATCGTTGAGCCAGATACACAGTATTACTAGCCCATTAAAGTTCCATAGAGTTGTAGCAACTTGTCGACATCCTTGTCGAGAGGGTCCTTGGTTAGGCACTACAGGAGAATGCTACCTCTATCCCCATCTGTCAAACAAACATATACCTAGCCCATAAACATTCAATCAGTGCATACTCATGCTTTAGCGTTTCTTGACTAAGTTCATGGTCAGGTACAGAGACAGATGAAGCGTTTCTTGACTAAGTTCATGGTCAGGTACAGAGACAGATGAAGCGTTTCTTGACTAAGTTCATGGTCAGGTATGGAGACAGATGAAGCGTTTCTTGACTAAGTTCATGGGCAGGTACGGAGACAGATGGAAAATCACTTGACTGTGATGTGCCCTTAACTGCTAGCATAGAGTTGTGGCAACTGTTAAACCACCAGTACCTTTCTCAGCTATCGATGCCGAACCTAAAACTGCCCTGCGGACCTGCGCGACCGAAAGAAAGAACCTGCGCGAGCCTCGTTTTGGCTGGCGCCACCAGCCATTTTGCATCGCCAGTCCCAATCCTGCCCGCCTCCCGTGTTAACCGGCAGGCATTTGTTTTCCAAGCAGGGAAAGGTACTGGTGGTTTAAACCACCAGTACACACGGGCCTGGAGCGACTCCACTCCGCGCCAAGCTTTGCAAAACTGCCAGCAGCACAATTCTTTTCGATTTTGGATCGCGCCCCTGCCATTGCGATCCGGTAGGCCCAAGGTGCCAAATTTTCGGGGTAGGCGACGAAACATTTTCAGCAAGGGCTTAGAGACTTTGAGAAGCCAATCGATGTCCGAATTTGTTCATGATCCTTTGCTTAGAGGATGAGCACTTGGAACCCTGATGCACTAGGAGGCATCTGTGCTCATTGGATCCGGGCAACGGAGTGAAAACTCAGCTTTGTTAAACAATGAGTGTGCATGAACAAAACGACAAGTCAGATCCGTCCACTCGATGGACGCTGCCTGGCTCAACTCCTACCTGCCACCCACTTATGGACTGCTTCAATGGGCAAAGGGACTCAGTACCACTACCATGCGGGAGAGTGCACAGCCACCACGGGCTGTGCATACCTCGAGCAGAAGACCGCATAGCTTTGCTTGATCCTAATTGCAATTTCGGGAAACTCACCATTCATCAAGGGACGAATGGCAACATATAGAGCCTTGATGAGAAAACTAAACAGATTGGGAAGCTCTGTGGCGTCATGTTCGGTTTACACGTGTGTGGGTGCGTGTGTCTGTGTGTGTGTGTGTGTGTGTTGTTTTAAGAGACCCCAGATTCTCTCTTATTCCCTTCACAAATCATCACAAGCCATCCATAACGAAAAAGTTCAGATAGTGCAAGGAATATGAGAGGGAACAATATACAGAAAGCCAAGTTGCAAAATCACACAGATGTCCAAGTAGTCGTGTACAAGCAGAGAGCACAAATGCACCGAGATTCCATCCAAACAAGAGCAACACAATGAAGTAACGAGCCAATGTTCAAGCCTTCAGGCCACACCAACACAGTATCCAAAGTCGCTCCTCTCTGTCTAGCGCCCAGCACCCAGCCTACAGTACTCGACTATCCTACCTACATCAGCATTCTCGCAACAGACTCACTTCGATTCTCGAAGACCAATGTACATGACATCAACACCATAGCCGACCTCCCTCATGTACCAGGTACGTATCTCATCTCCCTTCATCAGACCCTGTCCACCCACACTCGCCTCCTTCCTGAAGACCACCGATCGCCCTCTCACCCCCTAGCGGCCTGCAGCCCGGCTATGGCTGCTTGCGCTTCGCTGCCCGACAGCACCCCTCTTCACCACACTCGCGCCCGCACGCGCTCTGGCCTCAGCACAGCATTCAGCCTCTAACGCAGCAGCGCAGCAGCGTGACCGCATTGCCTGCGTGGGCCAGAATGCCTGCCCCTGCCTGCCCTCCTTTCTATGCGGAAGTGGCACCCCCTGCTTGGCTGCGTGTGGCCTGGCTGGGTAGCTTCCAATAGCTTTCGGTCGGGCCCCAGTACCTGCGCCCAGTCCCAATGCTACAGTTGAGGGCCTGGGCCCTTTACAGTTGGGCACGGCCTGAGTCTTCGGACTTGAGCCATTTGCTGCATTTGCACAGGACCCGGGTTATGTACGTCGACAATGCTGCTTTTGCGTAGGCCTGTGGCCACTTCGTGATGTGTCAACCCTGCATTGTGTGTATGTGCCCAGGCGCAACTTCCACGGCCTGGGCCAAACTGTTCAACGCAGCTTAGGGAGGCTTACACGTCCATTCAACCAACTGGCGGGCTGCAACAGCCTGCGTACCCACATATGAAAAATGCCAAATTTTGGCCTCTGGTGAATGTTCAGGCCCGCCTTCACTTAGGGTGGGCCTTGCTGGGGGCCTCTGCCCATAACCTGTGCATGTCTGATAAGGGCCCCCGCGAGGGCTCATTCCTCGCAATAGGTAATATAATAGAAAATGCAAGGTTGGCCACGTTTGTGTGGTTCAGCGCCACGTGCCCACACACCCGTCTGCCGCTTTGGCGGCACACTTGCACACATGCGTATGTATACATATGTATTTCAAACCATAAGGGGTGTGTGTGTGTCTGTGTGCGTGTGTTTTCGATTTTCCCCACAACAGCCCCAATTCCACCCAGGTGAATAGAGGGTCTATGCACTCCAAGGGCCACATGATAAAATGAAATGG